TTTTTAAAAATGTATATTTTATTTAGAGACAGGTCTCGCTAAGTTTCTTGGGTCTCACTAAGTTGTGGAGGCTGGCTTTGAACTCATGAGCTGCTGGGATTGCTCCTGGCTTGAATTGTGTCTTTTGACTCTTGTGATGAAATGTGGTAAGACTTTTTAGCATACTCTAAAGTGCAGTGTATCCTACGATTAGTATTTGCTCTTGTTGTTGAGAATTTAGTATCAGGCTGCTGAGCAGACTGCCCACAAGGATCATCGAAGGATGGATGCCTGCACTGCACATGGAAGGGCTGCGTTTGAAGCAGAGAATACACCTTGCTGCAAGGCTTGCTTTTGGCTATACAGGCCTATATATGTGCAGTCTTATCATGTCGACCCCGTGTTTGATTTAGTGACAGGAAATCATTGTAGAAAGAAAAAATAGCCTCAGTGAAAAGCCACAGGCCCACCCAACTTTCCTTTAACTGTAGTGTTTAAAAATCTTGTTCAGTGTGCGCAGGTGATGTAGAAGGGTGGGAGAGCAGGGTGCTGTGCTCAAGTCTGGGTGACACCTCTTCTGAGGCAGAGTTCCCCATGATTCTCTCATTATCATTGGAAACTAAATTGGAACTTGTCTTTTGTAGTTTTCTTTTACCTAATTTTGTAGTCAAACTTTCACCTTTGTTTGAGGTGTGAGGTGTTTTTGTGTTCACCACTTCCTCCCCTGTAAACTCCACAGCCTTGTTCAATATCCTCATTCACCCTTAGCCTTTCTTATGTCGACCCCGAGCACCATGTGCCTACTTCTAGTCCTCCCTACCTGGGCTTCAGAGCTCTTACCTGCAATTTTTCCCTATTGTGGCTCCACACACAGCTAGACAATAAATGATGTGGAGTCTCTCCTGTGAGGTCACCACCTCTTACTGGTAGGTCATGTTGACTGGGTGGATTATTGGCTTTGGGGCTTGGTGTCTCTGACTGGAAGCATCCAGCCTTACATGGCCACGTGTTAGGAGACTTCTATCTGAGCCTGGGGTTATAGATCGTTTTTGGTTTATACTGTCATGTATTGTTTAACACAGGGATACATTCTGAGGAAAGTATCAGGAGATTTCATTATTGAACAAATATCATAGAGTGTGCTTACACAAACCTAGATGAAATAGCTAGTACACACCATAGGCTATATTATAATCTTATAGAACTGCCATTGTATATGTTGTAGACCAAAACAACATTATATAATGCATACTCAATATAGACATGGAAGCTGTGACCTTCACCATCAGCTCTGCACACAATCCCATGAACTATTTGTCCTATCAGTGGATGGCTTCATGCCAAAGCACATGTGATCAACTCTCAAGCAAAAGGGCAAACAGCAGTCACAGCCACCTACCAACGCACACACAGATAAAACCAGAGTGCTCTTAAGAGTTCTTGGTCTTTCCCAAAATTTGGGGGCTTACTGTTTGTGATCTTTACCTCTATTATAGGTCATCATAGCAGACTCTTTTATTGCTTTAATAATACAATTATTGCATGTAGTAAATTTCAAACCATTTCAGAGAAACATGTCGAGGTGGAATTCATTCTTTCTCTTGCCCTCTGTGTCCTCCCATACCTGATAAAATATATCACCTGCTCTGTCCCAGTGATTTCTTATATTAACATTAATGTCATCACCAGTTCACTGCAAAACAGACATTTGACAGGCACCCTCACCTCTTGTCTTTCCTAAAAATTTCTTTGATCATTTTATTCCCCTTTTTCCCACTATTGTTGCTGTCTTAGTTGGGACTGCCATCATTTCTTTCCTGGACCATCATGACCACATTTTACTCTCCCCTCCCTCTAATTCATCATCCTCATCTGCTTCTAGAATTACATTTTAAAATCATAAATTTGATCATGTTTCTTCTTTATTAAAATGTTTGACATGACTCCCATTGCCTGTAGGAATCAGGGCAAAATCCCCCATGACTTTTCTCCTGTGATCTCTTCCAGTATCATCTGCAGATATTCTCTTCAGGTATTTCGTGCAAATGGTCATTTGCTGTGTCCTAAAATTTCTAGGTCCCAGAGACACTTTGCCTTTGTCTGTGTTGCTTTCCTGACCTCGAATGCCTTTATTATCTCCTCTGAGACTCAACTTGGAGACTGAACTCACATTACACCACTTTGTCAGAATTTCCAATCAGGCCTTGGCCTTCCTCTTCCCCACCATAACTTATTCTCTCCTTTAGATGCCCAAAGGCTTTGCATATACTTCTATTATAGCACATGGCACATTACTTTATAATTAATTTGATTACAGGTACATCTCTGTGGATAAATTACAAACTTCTCATGGAAAAATTGTTTGCCATCCATTCATTTTATATTATTGGGGTTTAGCACAAAATAAGATTTTAGATATTGGTTGAGTTTATGGGTAAATACAAATTAATGGACATCTTCAGAGGTAAATATTTTACTAGGGTGCTAATCTTGCTTTGTAATTATTATATCAAACAACAGACACTAGAACTAAATTAAAACCAGAAATACACAATGAGTTAACTCTTAAACCAGAACCCTATTTACATGACTGCTATGAGGTAGTAAGCAAACATATGCTTCAATTCAGATCATTACTTAAAGAGAGTTTTATTATTTTAATGTAGAATCAATAGAGAAAAAACTGTAAGTGTGGAAAAAATCAGACTTTTCAAAATCAATTTATTTTCAATATAGCATTAAAGAAGCTGTCTCAATTACAAAAGAACAAAATAACTGTTCAGTTTTGCAATTTTTCTTTACATTTCCTACCTTACACTAAGTAGCCAGAATACAGTGATGAAATTTTGATGAATTTGATAGTTTCGTTGTCTACAATGTAAGTAAGTGAAATTAATTTTGAAAACTTCGTTCTTATTGAGTTTTATCCATCCTAGATATTATCTATTCTGGGAATAGCTTTGAAAAGAAGGCAGGGTCCAAGATTATGAGACTGTTTTTGGTCTAAAAATTCTTGGCAGTCAGAAGTTGTGCAGTAGAAGCAGCTATGATCTTCCCATCACTTAATTTGCTGAAATAGGCTGACAGTGTGTTGCTTTGCCAAAATTGATGATTCACTGACAAGAAATCTGCATGATTGGAGCCTTCCCTATTTGGGACTCTGATGGGCCTGAGTTCACAGTAGCTGTTCAAACACCATTGAACATAGATGCCCTGGGATGGATGGTCCCTTGGATGAATCTTCAAACTAGGATATTTTTCAGTATTGAATCTTCCAAACTGTGTAATCAGTAGCTTTCAAACTTTCAATCCACATCGGGAACACATTTTCTATTATAATACAACACACACACACACACACACCTTAATTCAAAGTTTCATGAGATAACACATTTACTGTGTGCTTTACAGGTTGATGTTTATGTTACTATTTACTGGCTATGAAAACTTGGACAGGTTATTTAACTTCTTTTAACCTCAATTTCCCTATCTGTAAATTGGGGATATCAACACCTACCTCAGTATTTTTGCTAGGTTAAATGTAATTAACATAATGTGCCAGCACTGTGCATGACACAATAAATATGTTTCCTCTTTATATAAAAAGTATTTAAATATAGCACTAGGGATGTGGCTCAGTGGTTGAGTGCCCCTGAGTTCAATACCAGGTAACCAGAGTACCCCTCCCCACTGCCCCCCTGCCAAAAAAGGTGTTTGAATAGCTTATATTCTAGAAAACTTGTCCTAAGTTTAGTCTAATGCACCATTTTTGCTGTTTATTTTGAAACTTATTTTTATGAGGTATTTTTTCTTAATGAGGCAATAATTTTAAGCCTGAAAAAGTTAAGATCAGTTAAAGGGAATTAAACTTAGGAATAATTGAAATCGTTCTAATTTTAGCTGTCTAAACATAGTCTTTCTGAATCCATCGATTCTTCTTTATTCCACTTATTGAAAAAACTAATATTATTTGTTACTAAATTGAATCCTTGTTGAGTGCCTCAGGGTACAGGGACCAAAAAGAAGGCACTGAATTGAAGTACATGAAACAGGAATTGAAATGCTGTGTAAAATAGGGAATCTAGTTTTTTGAAATAACATCTTTCAGATGCCATTCTACAGTGAATGCAAATTTAGAAAGGTAAGTGTGTTTGACAATACAGAACTGCAGATTCAATATTTGGAAACAAACACATAAAGGTTAAGCGATGGATTGTAAGTGGTTTCCTCTGCATGCATCTGATACAATGCAGTGCAGTCAGACTCAGGGTCACGAGGAGTCATTGCCTGTACCTTTTCTCCACTTTTGAGGAGAAATAATTTGACCTGAGCAGAAAAGGTAACTGTGTTATACTTTTTTCTTTTTTTAAACAGGCTGTACTATATTTATTTTTAAACAGTGTTCTCTACAGACACAGGTGTTAGAGTATAAGACAATTAATTTTCATAGTGCTACGTTAGAATTATACTTCAAAAACCAAATTATAGTAATAATGTACAATGTAACTGATTTATGTAAAATGAGCACAATTTTCACCAGGCTTATTATTATCTCTAAACTAAACACAAGTTATGTAGTCAATTACAAAGTGCTTTCAAATTTGAAATTTAATTCTTATGACAATCCAGATCAAACATTGTTATCATCTTCATTTTAAGATACAGAAACTGAGTTGTAGAGAAATTAAATTGTTTGACTAGAACTTATATTACAAGGAAGTCTCTAAATCCAAAACTGATTCTCTCTCAACTGGTAAATCCTTTAAAGACAGAGCCTAGTAAGTTTGTTACATTTTATCATGACAGAGATCCCACAGAGACACACACTAAAATGATCGTTTCCATCCCATTAGCAATTGAACAAGATATTCAACAAATGGAATAATATTTCTTGGGTTTGTGATTTACTTGCCATGTCTTCCACAGTGGGTCCCTTATGCATGCAGTTGACAGGCTGATAGGTAGATTTGGAAAAATATTAAGTCAGCTGAACAATAAAGGCATTCACTCTAAGTCCTTACCTTGCAAATGGAACCAAGACAGCAAGCTGAGGACTCTCCACCACATATTGTGCCGCGCTGCTATAACACTTTGTTGGCTTCCTCTAGATTCTGAAGTCAATGCAGGAAAGTAGTTTCTTTTGAAGGGGGAGAGGGAGTAGCTCTGTGACCTCATGGTGTCAACTCCTTTGTCTTCTCTGGGAGCCCCCTCCTAGTTAGCTGCCCCCAAACACCTCCAGGTGGAACATTTTGAGGACCACATTTGTCATCCTGATTGTGGAGAGGCGTGAGTGATGTGTTGCTGATTAAAGTTGTTCTACCACAAGTGGGTAGTACTGGTAAGTCCACTAATTCAAAGGCTTCAGGGGCTGTGGGGGGGGGGGGGTTTGGATATTAAAATGTCCCTGTGTAATGATATCATCCTTATTTTTACTTTTCTAGTAATTTACTTTGTAATGACTATATGACTTATATTCATTCGATACTTAGGGTTAGGTAATTTTTAGTCAATCTTTGTGAACAATTTTTATTTCTAAATCTGGCAACAATTTCTAATGGTTATCAGAAGACAAATCCATTCACACATTTACTTATTTTTGAAATCTGCATACTTATCCATCCATCCATCCATCCATCCATCCATCCATCCTTCCATCCTTTCATCCATTTACCATCCACGATCTACCATCTAACATCCATCCATCCATCCATTCATCTGTCTGTCCATCCATTTCCCAACTTACTCAGTCAGCTTGTATGCACTTAATCAGATATGAAAGATTAACATCTTCTTTTTTAGATATAAGGATTTTATGATCTGGTGGGTGAAAAAATAAACCAATAGAATTTTAGTGCTTATTAATTCTCATTAATTGGGTCAGTCGAGATAATCTTTATACCATTTTTTCATTTGAAATGGGGTGTCAGAGTGAGTGAATGAAACAATGGATGGACTCATCATCATTTGAGAAGCAAACACTGTTCTTTAAGTTCTTTGATTTATCATTTTTTCAGAGCATTAAAGAAGATCTTAGTTTCAATTGTATTTTGGTCAATGGTGAGTGTATCTTATTCACCTACAGGTATGATATTCTGCTGGTTGAAAACTTTGACTAATGCCACAATAGTCCACTGAACTCAGAGATTAAAGACAGACCCTGGGGAAATGCTGCAAGGCAGGTTTGCAGAGTACATGCCCTTGTGGTTTGCATAGTCCTTCCTACTGTCATTAACCTCCGTCAGCCTACAGCCCACAGTGTGTTCAATAGGGGAGGGCAGCAGGTTGTGGCTGCTGAGAGGGGTGGAGAGAAAAGATGAGGTTGGAGCATAGTGGTCAAGGAGTGACCTGTTTTCTAATGGAACAGTGTCTACTGACCACCTTGTAAGTGGGAGTCCTCACAACTCTGTAGGGGAAACAACAACAACAACGACAACAATTTCCCCCTATCCTTCTGAATTCTTAGCTGGGACCTCAATAACAATAGATATATTAATATGAGAAAAAATGAACAATAAGTTTTTATAATGTATATTTCTTCTATGCATGAGAAATTCACAGAGGGTGATAACTCTTTTTTATTTTATTTTTTTGGTATTGGGGATTGAACTCAGGGGCACTCAACTACTGAGCCACATCTCCAGCCCTTTTTTGTATTTTATTTAGAGACAGGGTCTCACTGAGTTGCCCAGTGCCTCGCCATTGCTGAGGCTGGCTTTGAACTTGAGATTCTCCTGGCTTAGCCTACCGAGCCGCTGGGATTACAGGCGTGTGCCTCCGTGCCCAGCAAGAGTGAATAATTCTTAAGGAGATGTCTTGGAATTCTGGTCTATGTAACATTTTCAATAAAAAGTGCAGTTTTAGAGAAATGGCTAGACAAAGGACAAAGACCTTGAGTCTTGAATGGTGGAAAATTTTGGGAAGGCAAATATATGGGGAAACTCTTGGTCAAGAAGGGCTGATTAGTTAAGCTTGCTATGAAGTTTCCCCTGGTGCCGTCTCTGGATTAACAAAGGTCTAAAATCGACTGTAATGGTCCTTGGTACCAAGTTGTCCTTGGTAGAGAGGGAATGAGACCTTAGTAAATACATATTTTGCTTTTTTAAAAAATACAAGTGGCATATTCTGCTACCCTTCAACTGACTGCCAAGTTGTCATTTTGATCCCTATTCCATGAAATCCTTATGTAATGTTTCAGTTACTAACAGGAAATAATAGTAGGTTCTTGGTGGGAGAAGGTCATGTTTTAGAGAAATAAGCAAATGTCTTATTTCCCATGGTCATTCTGGTCCAACTGGGTCACCAGAGGGGGGAAAACTGAAAAAAGACACATCTATTAAATAGCCTAAAGATGCACTGCTTTAAGGGTCAGAACAAATAGGGGATTTCCCCATGTGCAGAAGCCACTGGGGTTTTTGTTGCAATTACAAGAGAGGCCTAAACTTTCTTCTTGACCTTTCATGGCTTTTATAGAGAACCATGGCCTTTCCCAAGGCCAGAGAGAGAGATGGACTCACCTCATTTCCCTGAAGATGCTGCTGCTGCTAATTCACACCTGGGGTGGGATTCTTTGAGCACTGTTGTAAAACTTACCATGGAGTTTCTAAGTTAGACCAGCAGCCTTTGAAATTAGTTATTGATTCAGAAAAAAATTTCCTAGGAGCAGCAAAACTTAGTGGGATAAACATGGGGGCAGAGATGGGCTGGTCACCTGGGTTTTGTCACTCTCAGCTGGGTAGCTTCTGCACATCATTTACTTCTTAGAATTATGTTTTTCATCTACAAAATAGGTAGATGGGAGGTTTGAATTAAATACAGTTCCCAGAGCACCCTGCAGTGTGGTACATACAGGACCTACCTGAATCTACAGACCTAGATGGCTTGGCAGCATCTCAGCCCCACAGAATCCACGATAGGTTGGATTTGCTTGGAAAGGAAAGAGACAACTAAGATTTGTTTGCTCTTAAAGCTTCTGCTTAGAAATCCAACCATTGTGAACCTGGGCTTCAGTGGAAGTGGAAACTTTAATATAATCAAATAAATCATTCTGGAAACAATTCAGATAAGAAAGAATTTCAAAAGGAATTTGTGTTTCAGGTGAATATATCACAGAACAGCAGAGGTCACCTTCTGTACCAGCTCATGGAGGTCTTCCTGGAGAGGTGGCCAACCTTAGTGACTTTCTCTGTAGATGGGGTTTGAGGAAAGTTGGGTTTCACATCTGTGTTCTAAAAACCCAAGAATTTCCCAGGTTTTTCAGCCTTTTGAAATGTTTTCATGAAATTTTCTTTAAAAATATGTGTGCATATGTGTGCATGTTTGTGTGTGTGTGTGTATATATATATATATATATATATATATATATATATTGATACGAGGGATTGAATCCAGGGACACTCAACCTCAACCTTTTTTATTTTGACACAAGGTCTCAATAAGTTGCTTAGGGCCTCACTAAGTTGCTGAAGCTGGCTTTGAATTTGCATCCTCCTGCCTCAGCCTCCGGAGCCATTAGGATTACAGGTGAGCCCCACCATAAGCATCTTTTATTTTTTTTTTTTGAGAGGGGGTACCAGGGATTGAATTCAGGGGCACTCAAACACTGAACCACATCCCCAGTCCTATTTTATATTTTATTTAGAGACAGGGTCTCACTGAGTTGCTTAGGGACTCACTGTTACTGAGTCTGGCTTTGAACTCACGATCTTCTTGTCTCAGCCTCCTTAGCCACTGGGATTACAGGAATGCACCGTGCCCAGCTCATAAGCAGCTTCTTTAAAAAATATTTGAAAAATATTTTTAAAAATATTCTGGAACCAGACGGATGAGTTGGTATCTCAGCTCCAACATTTCTTAGTCATGAGATTCTGGGCAAGTTATTGCATCTTTCTAAGGCTCAGTTTCTTCTTTCATAAATCAGGGACTAGTATCTACTGAATAGGGGTGTCAAGAAAATCAGAGTTTACACAAGTACTTAAGTGTCTGATAAATACAAGGGCTTAAAAAATGCAGCATTTTAAAAAATTTTTTAATTGCCAGTCTCTGGACACCCCCAATCTATGAATTTGTTATGTCAAGTAAATTGGTTTGGGTCCAGATTCTGTGAACTTAGAATAAAATCTGAATGTTTTACTATGATCTGCGTTAGAGGTCACAGACTCTTTCTATAAAGGGCAAAGTAGTAAATATTGTAAATATTTTTACTACTTAACTATGTGTTTGTATCCTCATAGCAGCTACAGGCAATGTGGCCATGAATAAAGAAAGCTGCATTCCAATAAAACTATACTAGAATTCCAATTTCATATAATTATCATTTCATGAAGTACTATTGTTCTTTTGTTAAATTCTCAGCTTGTGAGCTATACAAAGACAGGCTATAGGCTGGGTTCTGTTCATAGGTGAGATTCAATTTACCGACCCCTGGTCTATAAGACCCCATGCCGTTGGATCAGCCACCTGTCTAGCCTGTCTCCCCCGACTTTCTGTCATGCTCACTATGCTTTCATTCCCCAACCTCTTCTGGTCTAATTCAGCCACTTCCTTCCGACCTGGGGGTTTCTGCACTTGTCATTTCCTGAAACCCTCCTTGTATAGTTCTTGCCATGACCAGTTCCCTGATCAGCTGGTTTAATGGTTGCCTCTCAGGGACACCATTTCTGACCATCCTCTCCAAGAGAATTCCCCCTGCTCCCTCCTTCCCATAGTTACTCTCTGTCATGTACCCACTTTACTTCCTAAACATCATCTATCAAAGTCTATAATTATCTTGTTCATTTATGTGCCCTGCTTTCTTCTTTGCCACTATAGCTCCAGTCAACCAGCCTGCTAAGATATAGCATCCAATAAAGATCACAGAATGATGAACTAGTCCACAACTTCAATATCTTAGTTTCTTTTATACCATGAGTTAATAATCCCTGGTCTCCTTACCTTGTAAAATTGTTCTGAGAATCAAATGAACAATTTGTTGTTTAAATTAAAAAGAGTTGTACCAAAGGGAAGGTTAATCAGTCAGGCAGCTTTCTAAACAAACCACAGAATTCAACCAACACACCCTGTTAATATTTTTCTCTTACTACGGAAACTCACTTAAGGGGAGAATGGTAAAG